TGAGATACTATTATACACCCAGTAGAATGGCTAAAATTGAAAAGACTAACAAAAAGTTTTGGTGAGAACACGGAACTAGTAGGAATTCCAACCCCACTGGAAAAAGTGTGTCAGTTTCTTTTAAATTTAAACATGTACCTACCATTTAAAATAGCAGTTCTACTCCTAGATATGTATCCAAGGAAAACAAAAACAGATTTCCATAAAAACTTGTATAAAAATATTTGTATCAGCTTCACTCCTAATAGCCAAAAGACTACAAACAACCCTAATGTTCATCAACAGAAGAAGGATAAATTGTGGTATATTAGTAAAATAGTATACTACTCAGCAATAAAAAAGTATTAATACATTTGATCACAAGGATGGATTTCACAAACATTATTCTGCGCAAAAGAAGCTGGACATAAAAGAATACATATAGTATGATTCTACTTACATGAAATTTTCAGACAGCCAAAACTACTCCACAGTTAAAATTGAGAACAGTGGTTGCCATTGATGAAAGTTATGAAGAACCAACAGGGAGGGGAAATTCCCAGGGTGATGAAAACGTCCTCTATTTCGAGAAGGGTGAATCCATTTGTCAAAACTCATGGAACTGTACATATACAATTAGCATATTTCTACATATATAAAATTTACCTCAAAAGATGTAAACAAACAACAACAACAAAAATTGCAGTTCTAGTCTAGATGGCTTCACTACTGAATTCTTCCAGACATTTAAAGAAATAATACCAATCCTACATAAACTCTTTCAGAAAATTGAGACAGCAGGAACTTCTCAAATTGTCTTCTGAGCTAAGCATATCATTCCAAAATATAAGACAATTATAAGATAGATAAATTAACGGCCAATCTTTCTCAAGCAGATAAACAAAAAAATGCTAAACAAAATATCAGCAAATCAAACAACTATACATTAAAAAGATATATCAAGAATAATTAGATTTACGTAGTAATGCAATATTGGTATATTTAAAAATTAATCAATTCCCACATTAACCAAATATAGAAGTTAAATCATATCATCAAAATAGATAAAGAAAAAGCTTTTGATAAAGTTAACTCCTATGTATGATAAAAACTCTCAAAAGACTAGAAGAAAAACTTCCTTAACTTAAAAAAGAATAACAATTTAAAAAAACAAAAAAGCTGTGGCAAACTTCATACTCAGCAGTAAAATACTGAACACATCCTCCTGAAATCACAAACCAGACAAAAATTCCATTTCAGTACTTAAATGCAAGACTTTATGGAAGATTCTCTCTATTGCAACAATACAGAAAAAAGAAATAAAAGGCATAAAGAATGGAAAGAAAGAAAAAAGCTGTCATTATTTGATTTGGTACATGAAAAACTCAAAAAAATTAATATAATGTTATAAATCAATATTACCTCAATAAAAAAATTATATATATACTATAAGTAATGTTAATATATCAAGGTCCTTAAATACAAGATCAATATACAAAAATCAACTATTTCTATTCTAGCAACAAAATTAGAAAATAGAATTCTAAAAATATCATTTATAAGCTCAACAACAAACGTCAAAGACCCATAACTAATGAAAGATGAACAAGACTTCTACCTTGAAAACTATTAAAAAATTAATAAAAGTAGGGCCCACCCAGTGGCATAGTGGTTAAGTTCGTGCACTCCACTTCAGTGGCCTGGGTTTCGCTGGTTCAAATCTCAGGCGTGGACCTAGCACTGCTCATCAAGCCACACTGTGGTGGCATCCCACATAAAACAGGAAGATTGGCACAGATGTTAGCTCAGTGACAATCTTCCTCAAGCAAAGAGAGGAAGATCGGCAACATGTTAGCTCAGGGCCAATCTTCCTCTCACACACACAAAATCTAATAATAAAAATAAGAGTAAGACATATAGGGTCACCTGATTTACAACAAAAGTTCCTTTGCAATCAGGTGTTGTAAAGGCAGTCTTTATAATAAATGATGCTAAGAAATCCACAAAGAATAAAATGAACCTTGGCCTGTACCTCATAAAACACAAAATAATCAATACCAGATAGATCACAGACCTAAATGTAAAAGATTTTTTTTAAAGATTATAGAAGTTAACATAGGAAATATCTTCATGACCTTGGGGTTAGAAAAAATTTCTTTAAAGGAACACAAAAAGTACTAGTGATAAAGAAAAGTTTAATTAATTAGACTTCACTAAAACTAAGAACTTCTCTTCAATAAAAGAACTACACAGAGTGCAAAAAACCAAGCTACAGAAAGGAAGAGATATTTAATACACACAGACACACGTTTCTTCAACAAACAAATTGTATTGAGAATATACCAATAAGTTAGACAAACTACCCACCCACTCTCATTCCCCCAACCCCAAAATGTTTACTTCATGAAAAAGGATATTCAAGTTACGAGAAGTGATATAAAAAGGAGCTCAACTTTAAGAGTTACCAGGAAACGTAAAATGAAATCACAATTCAATACCACTATTCATCCTCCAAAAAAATGGTGAAAGTTTTAAAAAAATGAGCCAAGTGTTGGTGGGGTTGTGAAGCAACTGGGACCTTCATACACTGTTGGTGGGAGTATAAATTGGTAACCACTTGGGAAATTATTTGGCACTATCTACTAAAGCTAAATATGCCTACCCCATGACCCAGCAATTCCACACCTAAATTTATATCAAACACAAATGAGTGCTTCTATCTCTCAAAAGACATGTACAAGAATGTTCATAACAACTTTAGCAGCAATGACCCAAAACCATAAACAACTTGAATACACACCAACACTAGTATGGAAAAATAACATGTGGGATATTCATACAAAGGAATACTATGAACCAATAAAAAACAAAGACGAATCACACAAGTACAATGTTGAGCAAAAGAAAACAGAAACAAAAGAGTATATATTATATGATCCCATTAATATAGAATTCAAAAACAGGCAAAATAAATCTATGGTGCTAGAAGTCAGAACACATGTTTAATGAGGAGGTGGCTATTCACACAGAGGGGGCAATGGGAGCCTATCTGGATCTGCATAATGGTTCTACAAGTCCACGCAAATGTAAAAGTCCACTGAGCTATGCATGTATATTACTCAATTTTTTAAAGTGTTAAACCTTAAAATACATATTTTTTCAGACAAATAAAAGAAGATAATTTATAATCAGCAGACCTGATGTTAGCATACACTAAAGGGAATTTTTTAGTCAAAAGGAAAATGATATCAAAGGGAAGTATGTGACTATAAAGAAGTATGTGAACATGAAGAGAAGAGAAAGTGTAAATACATGGGTAAATCTAAGTGAATAGAGGCAGCATAATCCTATCTTTTGGGGTTTCAAACATATGTAGAACTAAAAGACATGACAGCAATGACAAAAAAAGGTAGAAATCGGGTGACTGGGAATTGGCAAAACACAAATTTACCAAGGATACATGTGGTAATGTCTAGGGGCACCAATAAAACCAATCTCTAGGTAAAACTAAGAAATTAACAGAAGGGAGAAAGAATGATTTAAAATACTCCATTAACCCAAGAATTGAGAGAAATATAATACAGAATGGGCAAGACAAATAGAAAACAAACAGTAATAAGTAGTGTAATTACATTAACTGTCAACTGACTACACTCCAATTAAAAGATAAGAGATTATCAAACTGTATTACAAAACAAAAACTAACTATATTCTACTTAATAGTAATCATACCATAAGGTTATAGAAAGTTGAAACTAAAAGGATGGAATAAGAAATTTAACAAATACTAATAAAAAGAGTTGGAATCATTCTATTAATATCAGATTTTTTAAAATTTAACTTAAAAAGTATTACTTAGAGATCATTTCATTACGATAAAAGTTAGTCACCAGTTAGATATAATAACTCAATATTTGTTAACAGTGAAAACTGAAAGAAATAAAATAAAAAAGATATAAATCCTCTCTCAGGAAATGATACATCAAGCAGAGAAAACAAGAAAGTAAGGATGTGAAAGACTTAAACAAGATTAATAAATTTGACCTAATTGATATTTATAGAACACTGCATAGCACATTTCAAAGTAGTGAAATCACACAGTGTATGTTCTCTGATTGCTCTGAAATTACATTATATACAGAAATATAACTTAAATATATACAGAAATATAACTTAAAAACTCCCCAAATATTTAGAAATTGACCAAAAAACGTCTAAACTCATAGATAAAAAAAATTATGGAAATTTAAAATCACATTGTATTTTGAGCAAAACAACAATGAAAATATGACATTATGGGTATTCTTTATGTTATTCTAATTAAAATTACATAAAGTTAAAATACATACATAAAGATATAAAGTTACATAAAATTTAAATTACATGAAGAATATCACATACCTAGGAATAAATCCACTGAAAGATGTAGAAGTCCTCTCTACTGAATGAAAACTACCAAAATATTAGTGGGATAAATTTATAAAGACCTAAATGAATGGAAGAATATACCACGTTTACGGATTGGCTAACTCAATATTGTTAAGATGTCAATTATTTACAAATTGATCTCTAGTTTCAGTGTACTCCTAATCAGAATTCCAGCAGATGTGTGGGGTTTTAAGAGTAAGTAGAAATTGAAACAGTGATTCCAAAATTATACGAAAATATAAAGGGCCAAGAACAGAGGAGGAGAGGGAGGAAGTTGGAGTACATACACACAAGACATCTCAGTGTAGAATAATTTAAGACTGTGTGGTATTGACACAAAGAGAGACAAACAGACCAACGGAACAGAAAAAGAGTCCAGAAACATACTCAAACTCACCTTGACATATGAAAAACAGAAATACCTTGGAAAAAAATTCCATGTAGAAATATTTCATTCAAAACTTTAATATACTTTCTGATCAATCATATCAATTACAAGAGCAAGTAAATATTTCAGTTAAATTCTCTCATTGACTGTATAAAATAACTTCCAAAACAATTAGGAGACCTCATATAAAATCTTTCTCTCTTACCTCTCCAAAAGCTCCTCGACCAATCACCTTTAATATTTCAAAGTCTTCTCTGTGTAATCGCATCTGTTTCACTTTAGAAGTAAATGGTTTAGCTGAAACAAAAGAACAACATCACTTACTTTCTTAAGGAAATGTCATGTAAATTAAGATATAAATAAAGGTATTTCTTACTTAATAAAAATGCAAATTACGACTAAGAATTAGGCCCAAAATACTTAATATCTAATCAAACTATATTGAGAAGAAATAGATTTAATTTCCAAAGGAAAACAATATATTCCCTTTCCTTCTTATATATGAATTACATTTTTGGTGAAGAAACATTTTTAAACACCAAATAACATATGAAATGCAAAATAACAAATGAGACCAGTTTATTCTCATATTAAACATTCTGTGTATTTTAACTCTCAATGTGAAATATCTATTTTAACACAAAGGTCCAAGAAATAAAAGCAAATTTTATGGCACCAAAGAGACCTTCAGCAATTCCCACCAAGTAAATTAACATTTCTTTCACATTCATTCATTCATTTATCGTTTCAACATGCCTTCAGCAAGAGTCTACACTATACAAAGCATGGTGGCAATCACCGGAGTTTAAAACAAATGTGAGTACAATATGGTACCTTCCTTCAAGAAGTTCTCAGTCTTCAGGAACGACAAACAGTATGCACACACAAAATAACAATGTAATAAAGCTTCTAACAGAGGTAAATATAAAGTGCTTCAGGATCAGTGAGAATGGAACACTAATTATTTTACATGAACACCAATGCTTCACAGAGGAAATAACACAGGAACTGAACTGTGAAGACTAAGTAGAATTCTGATATTTTGTCTGGGTCTGCAGTGTAGACATTGAATGCCATGCAAGGATTCAGACATTATCCTATTAATTATATGAGATAAACTGATATCTTTTAAAAGATTAGAAAGTCAATTATATGTTCTGCTGCCTCTAAGAGAAATTTAGACATGTCTCCTTTCCTTCCCTCATGTCCCTCTTTATCTTCACAAAAAAAAGAGTTAATATTATTAAAAGGTCATTATATATGAATATGGCTCTCTTCTCCTTCCTTCCATGGAGCCAGTGTGACAAGATCAAAGATACGTATTTGAGCATTAGGAGAGTGAATCAGACACAGCAGGCCTTACAACTTACCCTGGTCTGAAGGTACTTAGCCCGAACTGGTTTAGAAAAGAGGGGTATTCCACACTGCATAGCCCAGTCTACTAGAGATTTCTGCATTGGTGTTTTAGATTGTAAGGAAAGGAAATAGATATCAAATCTCTGTTTGGAATTCACACAACAGAGAAGAAGACCAAAGAAAGAGATCAGATTTGAATGAAAGTATGAAGGATCTCATACTGTGAGAGAGAAAGTACAACCATGTACAACCATGGCTGCCATGGAGGTGAATACTTTGATAAAATGACCAAGGTATCGTGGTTTTGAACAAACTGGACAGGACAAACGGTGAGACTGAGGACACTGTGTATCAGTCAGGGTCCCAAAAGAAAACAAATTTTCCTAATTTGAAGAAAGTTTACTTACTTTCTTATTATTTACAAAGGGGTAGGGAGAATGTAAGGGAACCACAAGGAATAGGGCACTCATCTGAGAGTAGCATCCCTGCCTTCCCCAGCTTCTATGCCAGCATGTCAGGAATACTTGGTTGAGAAGGGTAGGTATAGAATACATGAATTAAAAATAAGATGCAGAGTCAGCCAACATGAGACTAGTGCTGATCTAGTTGCCAGCTACAGCTGGAAAACATCGCAAAAATAGCCTACAACGCAACACTCGGCAGTTCTTTAGGTATATCTTCTACTCCACTTTACATTCCCCCTCTCTCAAGGCTTCCAAATACATAACCTGACATCCAAATAAAGTATGCGCACTGTATTTTTGTCTCATTACTGACCCTAAACGCAAAAACAGCATTTCATCACAGACAATCCAGTGATTTGTAATTCACTTCAATTCATAAAGAATAACTCTATGTATACCTTCCTCTAGGTAACATCCTACATTTCTAAAAAAGGTCAGAAATCTAGATATTTCAATCCTCTGAAACACTACTGCAAAACAGGAAAAGAAACTTTTTTTAAAACTAAAGTAACTGAAATACAATTCAGGTAAGCAAATGGTTGTTTAAACTACCTTTTAGCAAAGATACAAAGGATGATGGTATGTCAAAAAATAAATAATATATTTCTATGCAGTAGCATAGACCCTGAAAGCACCAAAAAAATGAGTACTGTAAAATCATACATAATTAGGATTAAAGATTTTGTCAGTTATTCAAGTCTTAGGAAAGCCTGTGTCATCAACATAAATTAAAAGAATAACCCTGTCCATTCTTTACTCCCTGGAACCTGCTAGTAAAAGTTCCATTTCTTGGTCATTGCAAAATTATTCTATTTTCAGGCATTCAAAAATAAGTTAAGTCACAAATTTCTTCAGATGGCTCATACTTTACTAATCATTTATTCAATTCACTCAAGAAGTATCTTTGAATACCCACTATGCCAAGCAGTTTTACAAGATGCTAGAGGTACAAAGATGAATCAAATAGTCCCTGTCCTCAAGTAAACAAATTATACAATGTGTTACTCTCCTGTTTAAAACTTTCAGTGTGGTTGAATACAAATGGCTAATAAACAGGAAATTATTCTCACATTACAAGAAATCAAAGAATTGCAAATAAACTTACAGAAATATTCCATTATTTACCAACCAAATGGGCCATAAATATAAAAGTTGAAACCACTAAATGTTTACAGGAGTGTGAATAATAGGTATTCTCATACATAGATGGTAGGACTCACACATGACTACAATCTCTATGGAGCAGATTTAGTTTTTTCTTTTTCATTCTCATAACATGGCATATTAACAAGATTTTAAACATTCAATCATCTTTGTATACTTTGAAATAAGCCTTATTTGGTTGTGATATATTTTTTAATACACACGTGAAATTTCTTTGCTTTATTTTATTTAAGAATTTTACAACTGCGTTCATAAACAATGTTGGTCTATACTTATCTTTTTTCTGTACTATCTTCATCTGGTTTGGTACCAATGATAAACCAAACTCATTAAATGTGTTGAAGAGCTTTCTCTCCTTTTCTATTCTCTAAAACAAAATTATTCCAGATTGTTTAAAGATCTCGATGTGAAAAACAAAACTACAAACCTTTTACAAGACAATAGAGAAGACTACAAGTATAAGGTAGGGTAAAACTTGCTAGTGAAAACATCTAACAAGTGTCTTTTCAGTGGACTTTTGATAATTAATTTCTTTCATATTATTGTCATGTTCATGTTTTCTATTTCTACCTACGACAACTGTTAATTATATTTTTTATGAATTTATACACTGCATTAAAATTGTCAAACTCACTGAAATAAGGTGACCTATAATATACTTTTGTTTTTAAAACTCTACTATATGGATAGGTTTGATCCCTTTTTAGTTGCTAATATTGTATATTTGGGTCTATTTTCATTCTTTTTCCTTGTCAGCATTGTTAAAAGTTTGCATATCTTACAACTATTTTTCCAAAAACACAATATTTAGATTTATTGATCGTTTCTAAAGTTCTATAGAGTTTTTTCTTTCTGTTTAAGTAGATTCTTACCTGATTTTACATAAAATTTCAGAAAAAGAAGACAGAGGCTAATATTAACCTTCCCCCAAACAAAAAAAAAATCTAAAATAGCCATATCGCTATAAGACAAAAGAGATATTAGGGAGAAAGGCATTCATAGAATAGAGATAAAAAGTAGCCATACATAATAATTTTTAAAAAAAACAGTTGAACTAACCAGGGCAAAATGATTCTAGACATATACACACCCAATAACATACCCTCAAAATATGTAATGCCAAATTGACAGATACAAAAGAAGAAACAAACTCACCTTCATAGAGGGAGACTTTATCTCTCTCAGTAATTGATAGCTCAAGCAGATGAAAAACAAAAACAATATATTTCAGCAGCATACATACAACACTCCAATTAAGAGGTGGAGAATAGGGGCCAGCCCAATGGCGTAATTGTTAAGTTTGCATGCTCTGCTCCAACGGCCCAGGGTTCGAGGGTTCAGATCTTGGGCACAGACCTAAGCACTGCTCATCGAGCCATGCTGTGGCAGCATCCCATATACAAAATAGAGAAAGACTGGCACAGATGTCAGCTCAGGGACAATCTTCCTCAAACAAAAAGAGGAAGATTGGCAACAGACATTAGTTCATGGCCAAACTTCCTCATCAAAAGAAAAAACAAAAGAGTTGGAGAATATAATTTTCAAATGCAAACCGAACCTCCAAATTTTTATAACATGCCAAGACATAAAACCACCTCCAACAAAATTCAAAGTACTGGAAACATAAAAACCAAATTATCTGAGCATAACGCAATTACAGGCATATCTTGTTTTACTGTGCTTCATTTTATTGTGCTTCGCAGATAGCGTATTTTTTACAAATTGAAGGTTTGTAGCAACCCTGCATCAGCCAAGTCTATTGGCGCCATTTTTCCAACAGAATTTGCTCACTTCATGTCTCTACGCCACATTTTGATAATTCTTGCAATATTTCTAACTTTTTAATTATTCTATTTGTTATGGTGATCTGTGATCAGTGATCTTTGACATTACTATGTCAATTGTTTTGGGGCACCACAAACCATGCCCACATAAGATGGCAAACTTAATAAATACTCTGTGTGTTCTGACTGCACTACCAATTGTTCGTCCCTCTGTCTCCCTCCCTCTCAGAGGACTTCCCTACTCCCTGAGACAGAACAATGTTGAAATTAGGCCAACTAATAACCCTGCAACGGCCTCTAAGTGTTCAAGTGAAAAGAGGAGTCACACGTCTCTCACTTTACGTCAATAACTAGAAATGATTAAGCTTAGTGAGGAAAGCATGTTGAAGGCTCAGACAGGCCAAAAGCTAGGCCTCTTGCACCAAACATTAGCCAAGTTGTGAACGCAAAGGAAAAGTTCTTGAAGGAAATTAAAAGCACTACTCCAGTGAACACACGAATGATAAGAAAGTGAAACAGCCTTATTGCT